TCCCCTTAACTTTTTAGGAAAACTGAACCATATAATCAGAACCACATTTATATATACAAACAAAAACTCCTGCCATTATGTATGCACATACATACACACATATACCTTCCATCTATTATTTTACAATGACTATTACTACATAACATGATGTGGTAGAATGAAAAAGATAAAACTGAAACCGAGTCCATGGTAGGAGTGGTTGGTTTAATATTTAATCCTAGCCACAATTTCATGAATTTGTAAGCAGATTATTCCTTGTTTATAAAATTTAAGCTACCCTATATTTAGATGGTATTCTTAGTTAAGTCCTGTTGATTAACAGAGAAAAGACAATTCAGCACAAATTCTATTACATATCACAAAGCACTCACAAACACCATTAGCTACATAAGCCTGTTAGTTTTCACTATTGTTTTATAAGAAAATGAGAGTACAAATGGTACTCATACAAATTTTTAAAAATCAAATAGAACACTGAAATGGGAGCAAATATTAATACTTTAGGCACCCAGGCACTATAGTTTTCGAGAGGTTCCTTTTGTCTCTTCTTGACCCTTTAAATTTTCAATTATCTTCTCCTATTAAGTCCATGTAATAAACTGCCATTCTGATAAAAAAAAAAAAAATGATTCCATTTGAAACTTCTAGAGTATATATTTTTGGCTTTCTCCATGCCTCCAACCCCACCAATCAATTTCCAACATTTTGAGAAATTGCTGACAAATATGAACTTTCTCCCTAGAAAAATATACCATCAAAAGTTTTACCTATATACATATATGGTAATCCACTGTCTTCCAGAATCATTTCATGTAACTCTCAAAACCCCAACTTAGAAACTTCTGTTCAAAAATATCTTGGGCAGGGTAAAAAGTTGATTTTATCATTGTTTCTCAATTACTTGTGATTTTGTCTGGTTTATTAAAAAAACTTGGTTTACAAAATTTTAAAGAAAATTTCTTTCAAAGATGAGAAAGCAAACTTTTAAGTTTATAAAGTAATTTAAACTTATTTTTTTAAAAACAAAAACTAGGTATGTACATATTTTCAATTTCCTCCTAATTAAAACAAAAACCACCTATCTGCTTTGTAAGTGGTCCTCAACTTGGGTTTAATAAGATTGTATACTGGGCCAATAATGAAGAATATAATTTTAAGAGGCGAGAAAGGATAGTGTATGAGACTATTCCATCTAATTAGAACCCAATTCAAATTAAGTGTTGGCTAAACCCCAATTTTAAGGTGGCTGTGTAGGGTAATATCAATGTGATACCATCAACATGTTAATTACATCACATGGCCTACCCAACTGTCTAAGCAAGGACAATAACGGTTCTTCTCTGTCCCTTATAATAAATGCAGCCACACAGCCTGCATTCATCCCAATGCAATAAGTCAAACCACTATAGGAACCAAGTAACTCCAATTTGTTAAATATCACTTTAAAACCAACAGTTTCAGAATGTCATTCCTAAAGTGAGAAATGTCCATAAAGGAGAATTATAACTTAACATAAAGCTCCAATTTTAATAATAATTTTTAAAAAGTCAATAGTACTGACATCTTAAGAAAGTTTCCTTTCAATTAAAGGTAAAACTGTGGCACTGTATATATTATTTTAACACTTCTAATTTTAAAGTTAAGACCTTAAAGTTAAGATTATAATTTTAAAGAAAAGTTAAAATATTATAATGGGGAAATATTATAATGGTGCAACATTTGCCCCTCCCCAAATGCTTTAACTTCTTTCCTTTTCACCCCTAAAGAAACTCATTTGTCCCATATTTATAGCTCAGTCTACTGATTTTCAATGATTTGAAAATTACTCCTGTAACTCATTAAAACCTTCAACTTACTTTTTGATTTACTAAGTTACAACACATTACATTATATCAATTCAGACATTTAATCCCTGCCACCTAAGATCTCAATCAAGTCCCTCTATTATAATCTGAAATTATAATACTTTTCAATTCTACAACAAAAACACTAATAAATTCCAAAGTTGAGAAAAATTCATGGGGGGGGGGGGGGGAAAGAGGAGAATTCTACTTAGTTTATTAAAAATTAAGAGGAATGCCTCATTATGTCAGTGTATTAAGCTTATATTATAAAAATTGGTTAAGTGGGAGTAAATTAATAAATGTTATTTTCCCAGTGTTAAGATGTAGAATTTCTGTCAAGTTTACCATAGAAACAAAATATGGTAGTAATTACCATATTTTAGGTATAGCTCAGTTGACAATTTTGCAGATATATTTTGATCATGAAATGTTTTTTTAATGACGTGGTGTATACAAAAGTTTCCTCATCTAAATCTATTCCATTTTGACCAACAACTGGATTATGGGACACTTGATTCAGGTTCTGGGTCACTCCTACCTAAAAGACACCATAAACAAAATGTCAATCAAAGGCAAGAGTTTGTTTTAATCCTTTGTAAGAAGTGTATCATGTATCAATAAATTATCAAAAAGGTTTTGTTTTTCTTTTTCTTTTTAAAAAAAATATATTTTATTGATTTTATACAGAGAGGGAGAGAGATAGAAACATCGATCAGCTGCCTCTTGCACACCCCCTACTGGGGATATGCCCGCAACCAAGGTACATGCCCTTGACCAGAATCGAACCCGGGACTTTTCAGTCCCCAAGCCGATGCTCTATCCATTGAGCCAAACCGGTTTCGGCGAGTTTTTGTTTTTCTAAGGCTGACTCAATTCAATGACCTTTATTCTTGGTATACATTTCCATAATTCTGAAACATGCTACTTTCAATATTGTGATTTATATAGCCATTAACTACCAGCATGAACCACAGAATTGGAAAGCAGCTGTTTACCTAGTACTGTTCACATTCTTCTACTAAATTCATTATCTATTCTTGAGGCCTATGCTTCACGGATCAGAGTTTTAGTTGGATGTGAAGTGAAATAAATTCTAAACAGATGACAGAAAAAAGTAGTATGAAAAAACCCACCCATGTCCCTCAAAAATAGGGACTCCACATGTAACAAACTAATGATATCTATTGCACTGTAAGATGTCAGTTATTACAGTGTACAAAACTTATCTGTAAAACTTAAAAAGCATATTGATACTTCAGCTGAAGCCAACTCTGATTTCAGGCTGTTGCTCTTGGGATTGCCCAAGACTTTTAACTAAAGCACAACTTAACTAAACTTCTAAGTGTACTACATACAGTGCTATACTGCTTTTATCAAGCCTCTCCCCATCCTTGCCTTGAACTAGAAATTAATTTCCAGGACAGTGAAACTGCAACACCCCAAATTTAAAGTATAATCTGTAAAACTTATAAACAGAAACAAAAATAAAACCAAATACAAGATTCTGCAGTCACAAGTACTTTAATTTTTAAAAACAAATCACTTATTTAAAAATAAACAAATGGCACCATTCTACACTAAAGATGATACAAGTAAAATAAGAGGTTCTATCTCAATGTACTGACAGTCTCCACTACTACATACACTTATTATTCAGCTTACCTGTAAAGTTATATTTAAGACACTACTCTGAAAAGTAACATTCGACTGTCAGAACTGTTTTACTTTAAAAGGTTAAACAATCCAGTTTAAACAGCTTTATTTTCAAAAGTCAACATTACAGAGTATAATTTCTACAGTTAAAATTCTTACAGTACCAAAGAGAGGTAATACAGTACAATTTTCCACAACAAAATTGTAGGGCACAAATCCAGCGATTCCTCGACTTCCTTGAACTGTCAATACACTGCACCCTGTTTAAACGGCTGTACCTGAAAACCAAGGATTGCAATTCCTTAGGATTAGAAGTCATCAAGTTATACTGTCAAGGATCTGGGGGAAATGAGAGGGAGATTCTATTATCCTTATGTCTGAACCCAACCTCCACGACAAGGTAAAGCCACAGCTCTGATACGATGTCTGTTAGCTCTAACTATTTAAATACTGAAACCCATCCAATTTAGACATCTTAACATTAAGATTTCTTTAGCAAAGTTATGGGTAAGAAGGGATCCTCTTTTGAAATGTAGATCTGTGACATCTACTTGAAGTGGGCGTTTTCTCCCCCCTGTGATGAGAAATTAGAAAGCACGCGAACTTAAAACTTTATTTAAAAACAAAACAAAACAAAACAAAAAAACCACACACACACACACACACACACACACACACACACACACACACACAAAACGAACCCGGTAATAAAATTACAGGTTTTAGACGAGCCAGTACTAATAAAAATATCTGCAACCATCTGAACATATTCCCAAGGATCTGAGAAAAACTCAGAGACAGTAGTTTATTATCCTCCCACTAACTAGAACTCGGGGAGAATGGATGCAAAAGTGCCAAGTTTACAGAAAATCTGCTTTGAAAGAGTCGTCGGGGCAAACATGCAGTCCTTTGCACACTGCGTTGCAGGGCGGGGTGGCAGGGTCAGACCTGCCGTCCCCGGGGCAGCCTCCGCGTGGCCCCGCAGCGCCAGGCCACCAGGAAGCGCAACGCCCCCTCGCAGCGCGGAACCGGAGCTCCCAGGCGCCAAAGGCGCGCGAAAGCCGAGGCGGCCCTAGAGCGCCACCCAGTGGCCCGCGGAGCGGCCTGCAGGCGGGTCCTCCTCACTCGGCGCGCCGCACCCCACCGCGACCCAGCCCGTTCCCGTCTCCAGAAGCACCAGGCCCAACCCGACTACTGAGACCACAAAATGGCTGCCGGCGGCTCCGTCACGTGACCCCTTTGTGCCGTTCGGGCTCCCGAACTCCGTAGGACCCGGGTACCAGTAGCCGGGGTCGGCGGGTAGCCTCAGAGGAGGTCCCGTCTGGCCGCGGCGGCCGGAGTGCGAGGCCGGGGGGAGCGGGGGAAAGGGCCGGCCGGCGACTGGGAGTCGGCGGCGGAGAGAAGATGGCGGCCATTTTGTGTGGGTTCGGTGCTCCGCCGCCGCCGCCGGCAGCGGAGGGAGTGGGGCCTGGAGATGGGTCGGACAGGGGAGTTAACACGTACCGACTCCTCTTCCTTCTCCATTCCGGTGGGCATCTGCGGCACGGCTCGGTTTATCGAGGCGTATTCGTGCAGGTCGGGCAGATCCTCACAGCGGAAAACCGGCAGCGGCTTCGAGGCGTCTAGCGCCCGCGCCCGAAACGACAGTTTACTCATCTCAGGCGCAGCAGATACCTCTCTGCTCTGGGGAAACGGCCCCGGCCAGCGGGATCATGGAGAACCGGGGGATCGGTCCCCACTCGCCTGCCGCTGCCGGGACTTGAGGGGCGGAGCGCAGAGCTCGCCGTCCGGGGCCCTGACAGCAGCCGGGAGGGTGGGAGGCTGTGCCGCTCCGCGCCTCGCTCGCTCGCTCTCTTCAATACGCCATGGCCAACATGGCGGACATTAAAACTCCACTGTGCGCTCTTCAGCCAACCCCAGCCATTCCCCACACTGCATCGCGCAGCGGCGCGGGCACGCGGGGGGGGGGGGGGGCGCGGGCTCGAACGGGCGCCGGCCCGGAGCGCGCGTCCCGTCAACCCCCGGCGCCCGCCGGCCGCGCCCGGCTGCTCGCGGCCCCCGCCCTGCGCGGCGAGGAGGCGGCGGGGCCGGCGGGGTCCGGGCGCTCGGACGCCGGGGCCCAGAGCCCGGCCGCCGCTCGCCGTCCGCACGCGCTCCCTCCCTCCGGCCCGCTCCCTCCCGCGCCGTCGGCAGCCCCCGCCCGGCCGGCGCGAGGGGCGGTGGGTCCCGAGCGGCGCTCGCGGGGCAACTGGTGGGTGAGGCCTCGTTATCATTACGCGTTAGGTCTTTGAAACAAAAACATGCAAACGAAATTAGGGGGGAAATGCTACTTCAGGTGAACTTTTGTCAGCAATTATTTTTATGTTTAGTGAGACTCTGGATGACATTTCACAGGCATCGCATCCCATCACTGGCCAGTTCCACCCACCGGGCCCAATGCTAAGGGCTGTCATCCCACTCTGATCCAAAATAGGGTTGTGTGTTTTTTGTTTTGTTTTTTGCTTTGTTTTTAAATTATGCATTTTATCAAACCATCCTCTCACCCTTTTATTATTATTGGAGCAAAGAGAATAATTATCATCAGCCACTATAACTTTTAGGGGGGAAATTTAAAGCAAGACCTATTTCAGGATTTTAGAGCCAGTTCTTTATAGGAAGCTCATGATTTTTGTTTGTTTGTCCTGAAAGAAAGTGCTGCTTCAACATAATTATGGGTTCACACTTATTCTTATCATTTGTTCTGTGAAAAACTATACAATTGAATCAGAAAGACCTGTAGTACTCCTGCCAAACCTAGAAAAACAGGAAAAGCTGAAATATAAGAAGAGATATAGATGGATGTGATAGATTGTTAACACTTGATTTATATTACAAATGAAAATGGTTTTCCCCAGAGAGCTCTTTCTAGTGGGCTATTTTAAAAACCAGAAAGACTGTTGAGGTGGGTTTAATAAGTTTGGCAGCAAAATTTCAAATGTTCACTGAGACACAAAAATGTTTCAGTCTGTTCTTCTCCAGGGGATCTCCATAGTAAAAATAATCACTGTTCTTAAATAGTGGGTTGGATAGGACCCTTTCAGGCTGGTTTTTCTACTACTTACCAGGTAGGAAGAAGATAAGGAGAACATAGATGACAGCTCTCCAAAAATTACCCGACGACTAATATTGACAACTCACATCTGCCAGGTAGAGGCAGATTACACTTTCTATAAGACTATGCATTTAATCATTCCGTGAACAGTTATTGAACCCTCAGGGCCTGGGAAGTATGCTGCTGATTACTTAGCATCTACAGGTAATCAGCAGCTTACACAGTGGGAGGAGGACCTATGGATGGCAAACCCCACACCAGAGGTGAGTATTTTGATGAAAGCCCAGGCTACCATGGAAACAGGCAGGAGTGTCACCCAATCCCTGGGGGAGTGGCTCTAATGAAAGCATTCAGGAAGGCTTTTTGGAAGGGATGACATCTGAGTAAAACTTATGTAGGATAACTATGGGTTAACCTTGCAAAAAAAAGAAGAAAGGTATTTTAGTCAAGGGAAGCAGCCTGGGTAAAGACTCAGAGCCACAAGAGTACATGTTACAATCTAGGATCCTCAAGAATTGCCAATTGCACTGTGGAATATGGCACCTATATAGACAGGTTCTGAAAACATTGGCTGAAGTATAGTAGTCCTCTCCAGCCTACAGTAAAATCCTAGTAGAATTTGGTTGATTGAAGAACCCAAGACTTTATAGAACAAAATAGAATCGTAAGTCATGAACAAACCACCAAAGAAATGAATATGTTTTTAACCTTCATTAAAAATAACAGCTTATGGATAACATTTTCCAGATCCTATATTAGTAATAATGGGCATCATACAACTAAGTTTCTTGTTCCTTAGAAATTGTAGAATCACCTCCCAAAGCAGGTTGAAAGAGATGCTTACAAATTAAACTTGACCTTTTGCAGATAATATGCCTGCTAAGAGACATTTTCTTTCTGAATCAGTTCCCCATCCAATTCAGTGCCCTGGGTTTCCAAGGACCCAAAGGCTAAAGTCCTTGTTTTCTTTGAAATTTTACTTCAGAGAGGAAGGAGGGGGAGATAAAGAGAGGAGGGCTGCCTCCTGCATGTTTCTTACTAGGAACTGAGCCCTCAAACCAGGAATGTGCCCCGACTGGGAATCAAACCATGACCTCTGGTTCATAGGTTGAGTGACACCAGTTGGGCTGAAGTCCTTATATTCAGTTCACTCTCCTCCCTCATAAGGGACAGGAGTGCAGCAATAAAGGTTCACGTTCAGGCTTTTTTTCTTTAGCCTTTATCCAACCAAAACTTTCCTTGCAAAAATGGCTAATCCTGCACAGCCTTTAACTTTTTCTATTCCCAACATAGAGTCCCCTCATTGTCTTAAGTATCCCCAACAATGGTGATGTGACATTTTCAATATTACAAAAGATACATACTAATGTAAAGCTGGCTACTAACTTTCCTCAAAGGAAAACTCTTGGTTGGGAAGAGATTTGGAGTTTTTAAAATACTTTTAATTCATGTCATATTTATTAAATAGGTAACAACAGCACCATCATCATTGGGGATACAAATAAAATGTTGATAAGGGGATACACAGTTAACCAACTGATCAGATGCAGTTCTGTGGGAGTTCAGAAAGAAAAGCCGTCAGTTCTAGCTAGGATGATCAGAATCATGGAGAAGATAGAGGTGATTTGGTTCTGAAGGATGACAAGGATTCCAATTGCTAATGGGAATGAAATGGTAGAAGAAAGGGTATTCATGGGAGATGGCAACTGTATGAACAAAAGCATGGGAGATGTGATTAAAGATGAGAAGGTTTATTTGGCCGGAGTTCATAGGAAACTCTGACAACAATCCAGGGGAAACTAAGAAGAACTTGGATCAAGGGAGTAGAAGTAGAAAGTAAAGAGACATAAGTTTTAGTGGTAAAAATAATTACTTACAGTGTCATTACCCTGAAATGTGATTCATTTCAAATACAACAACAAACTAAAATATGTCAAATGCAACTGCTCTGACACTAGTTGCTGTATATAATAAACCTGAAATATATATCTAATACATGTCTAATACGTGCCCACACCCTCTTAGTTTTCCTTTGAAATTGTTTCTGGGATTTGCCTCATTATTTCCATTACTAATGTCTTAATCATAGTCCCACCTAGAAACAACCTCCATTGCAATTCATTAAATTTTTTTTTTTTTTAAAAAGACATTTTTGTTGATTTTAGAATAAGGGAGAAGAATAGAGAAACATTAATTTCCTCCTGCATACCACACACTGGGGATTGAGCCCACAACCTGAGCATGTGCTCTGACCAGGAATCAAACCAGTGACCTCTTGGTTCATGGGTTGATGCTCAATCACTGAGCAACACTGTCTGGGCCCAATTCATTTTTTATTAATTCATTACTTCATAGGACACTGCTGTATGCTAATAGTGGCTCGTAAGAACTCATCATGGCTGGTAGAGGTTGTGGGACTCTGGGATGTGAAGAATACAGTTCAAACTGCCCTTCAGGGCTTCATAGTGCATGTCACCAAGTCCAAGTGCCCCCCGCCCCTTTTCCATCTGTATCCTTTCCCCAAATCATTTATTTATAACTACTTTTTATTTTTCCATCCCATTAAGTCTTTTCATTTTCTCTTATATGTGTGTGTGGCACTGCTGTGAAGGCCTCACAATTTTCCTGTGCGCCGCCCAATATTGCTTCTCATTACTGCCTAAGACAAGCTCTTCATTATCTCATCTCCTCAACATCTTTACAAATCAATGTCTTTCCTGTCTCCAGGTTTTCATTCATTCCTTCTATTCTCTCTGTCTGGCTTTAGCTCATCTATTTCTATCTAAATGCTACCTCAGAGTTTTGAGGAATGTTTTGAGGATAAAGTAAAGTAATACATGTAAGTCATTTACAATGATCTCTGGCCCACAGTAACTATTCAATAGATATAATTTGTTAGCCTTTAAAATCCAACTCAAATGTTACCTCCTTCATGAAACTTTCTTTGACTGCTTACCCTCTCTGAGTCTAATTTCCTAAACTGAAGAATGTTAGGTAAAGTAAAAATTCTTAAACCCATACCAATGTTTTTTTGTTTTTTTTAATCTCTGAACTGTTATACTTTTAATCAGTAAAAATAACTATCATTTAATTTCCAAAGAAGTTAAATTCTCTTTCTATGTGACAATTTATAAGGATTTTTACTATGTGCCAGTCAATGCAAAAGTCCATTACCTCAATTTTTATGAGAGCCTATGAGGTCTGTCCTGTTAGAGGTTGCAAGACCTGCCTGTGGTCACAAAGCTGGCAAAAGGCAATGCTGAGATTGAAATGCCTGGTATCTGATGCCAGAGTGGAGTCCCAGAAACTGAATTTTATAATGAGTGAACTAAAAATGAGGAAAGAGATATGCTTCTTTCAAGAAGCTTGGCTTTGCGGGGAGGGGACAGACAGAAAGGGGTAGCAATTCAGGTCCTAGTTTTGTTGTGTTTGAAGGAAGGAAAGATGTGGGCATGTTTGTATGCTAATTCACATAAGTGGATTAACTTTAGGACCATTTTCCTTAGAGGCAGGCAGGAAGGAGGGCAAAAATGGATAGTGATCCAAAGAAGTTAAATTCTTTTTGATGTAACAATAAAGTAAAAATAAATCATAATACCAGTTGTGGTAGCATGAGTCTAGATTATTCATTCCTTCAAACATTCAACAAATGTTTATTGTATATTTACTAACAGCCAGGCAAAGCGCAATCCATATAGCTCACAAAGCTAATAATAAAGTGAGATTTGTATTTAATTAGGAAAATGTGGAATTCTTTAACATGTGTGAATGCACAATAATCTCAACATTAAAATGTAATACAGTGCTATGACTGAAAGCATTGTACAAAATTACTAAATACTGAATTAGTATATTTTCACTAGAAGTGACCATTTTTTCTTAACTGTCTGCTTTTGTTCTCCATACTGAGCCATATAAAGAAATAATTCTTCTGCCCGGCTGGCATGGCTCACTGATTGAGTGTCGACCTATGAACCAGGAGGTCATGGTTCGATTCCAGGTGAGGGCATATGCCCAAGTTATGGGCCCAGTCCCCATTATAGAGCATGCGGGAGGCAGCCAATCAGTGATTCTCTCTCATTATTGATGTTTCTCTTTTTCTCTCCTCCCGTCCTCTCTAAAATCAATAAAAACATATTTAAATAGAAAATAATACTTACAACATAACTTTTAGGAAAATAAAAACAAAGCTTTTTATGA